CCAGAGATAATATGGAGGCAGATCCTCTGAAACAACCTGGTGATATTCCAGGGAAAAACAGTGTTGAGAGGCTTTACTCAACTTCTGGGGTGCTGCATGCTCCCAGCTCTTACATCTTAAGGAATTAATATTGCAGAGCTACTGGTGTCCTTGAAAAGGCCTGGTCTCTTGCCCCACTTGAGACTAGCAGAAAACTGTAAAGGAAATGCCCCCAAAGTCTTTGCAAGGCTAAAGTTGTTTAGCCAGCAAGGTGCCAAGCCATCATACGAAGTGATAGATCTTAGGACAGCAGGTTAGTGCTGGCTTGGCACCATACCAATCTCCTAAAAATAAGTTGTACCCTCCCACAGCACCAGCCTCTGGGGACCCCAGCAGGCCTGAGGAAACCCATCCAACCTCTTAATACACCTTTGACATGCAAATAACTGCATTTTTAGTGCAAGGGAAAAGTCAAGGGGCATGGGTGGGGAAGACTTGCCCAAGATCAGCCAGGAAATCAGGAGTACTTCTGGGAATAAAAGCCTGGGATTCCTGACTTGAGGTCAGCTCTTCTACCCACAAGACTCCCCTCCCTTCTGGCCCCAGTTCCCTAAAGCTCACACCCACTTCCCAAAGGATGAGTTCAAGACCAAAATGCTCCTCTAGACTCTTCAAAAGTACAGTCAGGCACCAGCACTGCTTTGCAGCAGTGGAGCTGGCTGAAATCTGTGTTCACTTCATGGGGATGTTCATGAGGATGAAGATGCCAACAGGATCAGACCCGAGGCCATGCCCTGGCTCCAAGAGCAGCCAGCACCATATGTTTGCAAGGAAGTTATAAGAAAGCTGCAGCAGCAGTTGTGAGCTAATCTGCTTCCTCCTCCCAGGGCTCAGCTTGGTCTCTCATCACTACAGGTCAGCTCAAGGCCTGACACAGGAGCCCTGCTTTCCCTCGCAGAACATCAGTGGTCACTCGGATAACATGAGAGCCACGGGACTGACCAGTGTCCCCTGCTTGTTGAAGGTACCTGTGCAATACACTTCCCCAGCTGCCCTGCAAGCACTGCAGGTGTCACAGCCCAGCACTGCTTCTGGGAACAGGCAGCTGAAGATGCACTTTGTCCAAAACAATGTCTTACAAGGGGACAAAACAGAAGTGATGGACATGTGCCTGGTGAGTCACAACAGTTCCCCCGTGAAAGGGAAGCACCTCTAAGCTCACCTCATTGATCTTGCAAGGGGCACCCTCTTTAAAACAGGAGCTGGGGCTGCCTGAACGACACCAGGCATGCACTGTGCCATGGAACTAACAGGAAATATGCTGAAGCTATGCCAGCTGGGTTAACTTAAGTGCTTGCCAGCTCTACTTCCCCATCTTTCATGTCCTGTCTCCACCAGGCTTACCACTGAACTCACAGCATTTACAGACACCAGTAGACTTGAACATGAACAGGACCACAGCCCTTTTTATTCCTTTTTAGAAGATAAATTAAGATAATCTGTTGGTCTTACGGGAGCAGTTGTGACAATATTTCCCACATCCTCTTTAAAATCTAGAAGCTGGCAGTTATCCAAGCTTATAGCAGAAAGTTTTTAGCCCAAGCTCTGCCCTCATCCTACTGCTTGACTAGCAAAGTGAATTCCCCTGATCTTCAGGGATCTCCCTGACATCAGGGCCAACACAGGAAGCTGTTTGGCAGACCAGTTTGCAGTTATTAGGGCTCAAATAGAAATGTGCATCTAGCTGAAGCTTAAAATAGAGACTTACAGACACCTCTCAAGACAAATGCTGACCCACCTTAGGCAAAGCATATGCCACCAGAGAGGCAGAAGCTTGTTGCAACTCTTGACTGAGCAGAGCAGAACAAAGCTCTGGTCCTTCAAGCTTGGTTGCTTTGAGTTGTCCCTTTGCTGCTAAGCTACAGTAGAGAACACCACCCAAGCCCTATACTGCAGTGCTGAACAGCCCTACCACAGCCACTCTGCATATAGGAAAACCTTACAGACATGAGCACAAAAATGGTACTGCTTTGGGATCCTTACCATTGGTGTAGTCCTAGGTTGCTAGCTCCACTGGACATCCTGATGGTGTAAAGCTGTGACTCAGCATAAACCCCTATGGTGCAGTAACAGGCTCTGATGCTCCTTCTGCATTTGCAATCAACCTGTGCAGAAGAAAAAGAACAATTTGAGCATTTCACAGCTGGAAACTGTCCATGATGCCTACTACCTAGCACATATGTCTCAGTAGCCATAGCCTCAAACAAGTCTACCTACCAACTCCACTACAGACCAACAGTTGTCAGGGCTCTGGGAGTACTAATAAACTTTAGTGGCCCCAGTCAGCCTCACCTGGAGCCTCCGCCACTCCTGCCCATAGGCCCAGGGGATCTATTTAAGCTCAGCCTGGGGTTCTTAATTGCTGTTAAGCAATGTTGTAGGGGTGCTGGTTTCCAGCTTAGCTTAGTGCTTAGCTAAGGTATTCTCATGCTGGGCCATGGGCACTGTTGATCTGGAGCCTCCCCTGTAGGTTGTTGTCCTAGGTAGACCTCAGCCGTGCCTGTTGATCATAGGGCTGTGCCTGACCCTGGTTGCCCCCACTGGGTGCTGGCTCGTCTCTGGCTGCGGAGGCCCCTACCCTTTCAGGGGCAGCCACCCTTGCTGTGCCCTGACACAGCTGGCATGTTCACCCTTCTCTTCCCCATCTTGCTTGCACTCCCCTAAATGCTGAGACAGCAAACTCAGGGATGCACTTGGCTCAGAGGCTAAAGAGGTTTGTCAGAGCAAGCACCCCACTACACGTGATGTGGTGTTGTGTTAGGGAATCTCTTTTCAGGCTGCAGGATCCAAGAACTGTTCATTGTTTCCCAGGGCAATGCTGACTCTGAGAGCTGCATCTGGAAAAGAGCCAGCACTGCCTGAGAGGCTGCAGTGCTCCAGCCCTGGCACAGTCACTGCTGTCCTGCAAGCAGGCTGAAGTGACCTGGATTGGGCATGATTCCTGAATGGTGCCATGAGTGGCTCAGCAGAGATGGCCCTGCACTAACCAACCCTTGAGGCTCTGCCTCGACACCAGATCTTAAAGGTAGGAGAGTCTTCACCTTCTCCATGTGCAGCGCAAGCCAGGAAAAGGTTGGGATGCAACAGGGGCCAAACAAACACAACCTTGTCTTGCTTCTGCCTCTATTATAACGGTGCCTCCCAACCTCCCTGTGGTACCCAGAACCTGTCTGGGCTGACTCTCAGCCCTCCTCTGAGCCCTGCTACCAGCAGGCTCCTGGGGAAGTGACTCAGTCAGCCCAGCTGGATCAGATGAAATGAAAAACATAAACAGAGGTTGGTGCGGGAGCAGAGCAGGTCCCATTTGCCAGCCCAGCACACATGTTGTTCAGGAAGGATAACAAGCAATCCACAACGCAGCTCCTCTGAGCAAGGAGTCAACACAAGCTGGGGGCTCCCAGCCAGGTCTGTTTTGGCACAGAAAGCCTTCAGTGAAGGCCAGATGTAATCGAGTGTTGCACTCCCTTGCTTGCTGGTGCTCCCTCACCTCCTATCCAGACCAAGACCACTATTTCAAAAAGCCTCCTTGTAGCCAACTTCAGCCACAGTCATTCACTTACAGGGGCAATATTAAGGGACTCCCTGCCAGATGCCACGCTTCTGTTTCACAGCCAGAACTCAAGAATGGAGGGAGCACAGGGCTGAAACCTACTGAAGGCAAAATTAACCCTTCTGGTCTAGAAGCAGGATCAGGACTCCCAGAGCTTTCCATGCCCCCACTGCAGGGGAAGGAAGGGCTGTCCCAGACCATGGCTGGGGGCATTCTCGGCTCCTTTAGAAAACTGAAAATCCTGCCTCCCTTGTCCTTCTGTAAATGAGAAAAGCATTGTGCTAACACAGGGAGCCACTGGGACCCTCCAGGGGCAGGCGCTACATGTCCAGGGGCAGGCAGGTAGCATGGACAGCTACCCCCGGATGACAGGCACTGGAGTAAGAAGACCTTTCCCCAAACCAGCTTCCACAGTGGGAGGGAATGAGCAGACCAGGGTGCATAGACAGGTCATTGCATTCCAGGGAACTTGGGACCAGGGATCTGGGACCCGTTCACTATATGTGGGGCCCTGCTCTTTTGCCGGGTGGATCTTTTCACAGTGCCGGCTGCCAGCAGCGATCAGCAGCTTGATGCCACACAAGGTGGCAGGGCTCAGATCCGAGCCAGGAATGGGGTCACCCGTCCAGGGCCAGCTCTGAGGTGTGGTGTGCCGTACCGACGGGGGGTGCCTGCCCCGAAAACCGGCAGCGGGGAGAAGAGCAGCGGGGAAATAGCAGCGTCTGTTTCTGCGGGAGCCCTGCCTGGAGTCGTTATGGCAACTGCGCCGGTATGAGCCTGGGCCGCTTCTCCGCGGGGGGAAAGGGGACGGACCCCGCTCGCTCCCCGGGGCTACGGGGGCAGGTGGGGCACCAGCGGGGAAGCG